AAATCATGAGCTCAAGCAATCCACCCACCTCAACCACCCAGATGCAAGGATTACAGGCATTAGCCACCACCGGCCATAAATAAATAAATCTCATTCTATTATAGTGTAAATAACAGTGCTTCTCAAACTTCATTGTGTAACCATCCCCTCCCACCACCAGCAAGGGATCTCATCCAGCAGCAACCATTCTGCATTTTCAACAAGATCCCTTTCCTGGTCCACCAACCACACTTTGGTTTTACAGAATACAAACCACTTTCATGTATATCATTTTATTTGTTCCTTGTACAACCTTGGTAGATAGAGATTCACTAATTCAAACATTAGGTACTCCCATATAACAGACACCTGGGCATATAGATACAGTCACCTACCAACCAAACCCAAAACGCATGTAAACAGACACCTAATTATAGTGATCAGAATTGAGGAGAAATAAAGAGGGTGCTGAAAAAGAACACCACGGACCATCTGAGACCGCCTCTGTGAGGAGGGATTTCAGTAGTGGTGGGAAAGGCCAGCAACCAAGTTCAGGGGCAGGCTCCGGGAATACACAGTGGAGCCCCCGCGCTGGAGCGCAGGGGAGGCAGGGGAGGCAGGGGAGGCAGGCCCGCCAGACTCAGATGCCGTGGCAGACAGCGGATTCCAGCCTAAGGCTGGGGTTAGCACTGAGTGCTTAAGCAGGGAAGTAACTGGTTTAGTATTTGCTTTCAGATCACTTTAGCTGCTGTGTGGAAATGACCCCTCTCTAGGGTCACTTCTGTGCTGGTGTAGGGAGTGCCTGGCCATGTGAGGGCGCCGAGGAGTCGCCCGGGGTCTGGCGGATCCTCTTGGGGATGGGTGTTGCCATCCGACTAACCAGGGCACATGTCTTTGCTGCTGCACTGAGGACGTCAAAAGCGGGCGCTATGTGACCTTTCCCTTTCCCCGTTTTTCTGAAGACCTCGGCTCCCATCCTCGCTTTCCTGGTCAAGATGGCATCTTGTGCATTTCTCCCTCTTTGCCTTACTTTCTCTATGGGTTGAAAAAGAAAACTGGGCTAGCCACGGGTGACACTCTGGATCGCCAATTGTTCACTTCGGGCAAGCGGGGCTGCTGGCACAGCCTGGGCACTGGTGGCCACGAGCAGCATACAGGACTGGCTTTCTATTCGGGCAACTAAGGCACTGTTGGCGAGGAGCGGGCACCTTGGAAACTCTCTGCAAATTCCCACCTGCGCGTCTCGGGCCCACGCAGGCTGCCCAGGCCACCCGGTAGTCTCCGTGCCGAGGCCCCCGCCCAGCAGGGCGGGGCCGGGCCCAGTGCCTGGGACTTGAGGGCAGGTCAGAGGACCCTATCCCGTCCCAGACTCGCAGAAGAAGTGGCTCGGCGGCGAATTTCCGCGCAATCCCAGTGCTAAAGCGCCGGGCGGACCTCCAGGGCACACTTCGGGGCTCACCTGACGATCCCGGAGCTGGGAAGCTCCGCCACGCCGCCGGGAACAGGCCTGGCCCAGGGCGCCCGCCGTGCGCAGTCCCCGCCCCGCGGCGGAGCCCCCGCCCCTCGGCTGCCGCCTCCGCCTCCTCCTCCGCCCCTGCGGGCCCGGGACGTGCCGGGCCGGCGAGCGAGCCTCGGGGACTGCTGCCCGCGCTCACTTCCGCGTCCCGCCGCCCTCCGGCCCGCGCGCGCCCAGCCTCCGCTGCCATCGGACAAAGGGCCGCCGGCCCCAGCTGCCGTGAACTTCCTGCCGTGGACCGGCCGCCCTTGCGCCCCGGACCGCGTTCCCGCCCTGCGCCGGCCAGAATCACAGCTTGTGGGGCGGGTGGCGCTGGAGGAAGCTGCGGGGGGAGGAACGAGCACCCGGGACGTGCCTAAGGCTCCGGGCACCGCGCCTTTGCTTCGGCCACGTCCGGCCGGCGGCCTCTACACTTTTCTGGCCGGACTACCTTCACCCCGGCCCCAGTCCAGTGGCTACTGCTTTGTGGATTTCCGAGTTTGCTTAAAGAGGATGTGATTTTTCTTTTCTTTCTTGCCTTCTTTTGAAAAGAACTCTGCAGAGAAGTCTGGAGACAGCAAAACGCCACCAGCTGCCCCTACCAGGACACCCCCGAGGAAAGGGAGTTGGAAACAAACTTGGCCCAGCTGGCCTTGAGGCCTCAACATCGGCTGGACTCCAGACCCTGGGGTCATGACCCCCACACTGGGCAGGTGGAAGGCCTTACCTGTACTGGGCTGGACTTGAGTGTCCCTCCATCTTTGGCCGATATCTCTCCCCTAGCCGCCCCCGCACTCTCACCCAGCACCCAGGCTAGGCCCAGACACCTGTCAACAACATGGATAAATATGATGACCTGGGCCTGGAGGCCAGTAAATTCATCGAGGACCTGAACATGTATGAGGCCTCCAAGGATGGGCTCTTTCGAGTGGACAAGGGTACAGGCAACAACCCTGAGTTTGAGGAAACACGCAGGGTGTTTGCCACCAAGATGGCCAAAATCCACCTCCAGCAGCAGCAACAGCTCCTGCAGGAGGAGACCCTGCCTAGGGGGAGCAGAGGCCCTGTCAATTGTGGGGGCCGCCTGGGCCCACAGGTCCCCCGGGAAGCTGGTGTGGGCAGCAAGGCGGCCCTGGATGGTGCTGCCAAACCTCCTCTTGCTGCCTTAACAGGGGCACCTGGAGTAGCCAGCACCATCAGCTCTGGGCAGCCCTCATACCCAGCCCAGGATCATAGGGCCAGGCCATATGTCTATGGCACAAGACATGGCAACCAGGACTGTGGTTCTAGGGAGAGCCCCGCGAGTTCTGAGATAACTGCTTTGCACCAGCCAGGTCCCTGCGAGGATCCTTCCTGCCTTACTCATGGAGATTATTATGACAACCTCTCCATGCCAAGTCCAAAGTGGAGTGACAAATCAGGAGTATCCCCCAGCATCAGCCTGGTAGGGAGTGGGTGGCCTGGACCCCTGGGGAGTGACCTGCCAATGCCAAAACCGAGCAGAGACCATCATCTGTACCAGCCACAGCTCTCCTTGAGCTCCAGCAGGTCTTTTGAGGGTGGCCTCAGTGGTCAGGATAGCAGCATTGGTGGCCACAGCAGTGAGAAGCCATCAGGCCTTTGGTCCACTGCCTCTTCTCAGCGGGTGAACCCTGGCCTTCCTTCTCCAAGACTGGAGAATGGGGCCCCAGCCCTGGGGACCGCTCAGCCCAGGATCCCTCCTATCTCAGCACCCCTCGCCCTGAGCTGCCCCAGTCAAGGAGCCCTTCCAAGAACAAACTCGGAGCTAGGGAGTGAGGTTTCAGGTGGGAAGTCCAAACCTACTGTGGACCCTCATCCCTGGTTCCAGGATGGGCCCAAGACTTACCTTTCCAGTTCAGCTCCATCATCCTTGGCAGCCGGCATGGACAGTTCACAGCTGGGTGCAGTCCCTGGGCTGATCTCTAAGACTGGCTCTACAGACCTTGGCACGGGTCCTAAGCTCAGCCCCACCAGCCTTGTCCATCCAGTGATGTCCACCCCGCCTGAGTTACCTTGTAAAGAGGGTCCTTCAGGCTGGTCCTCTGATGGTAGCCTGGGACCTGTGCTCCTGGAGAGCCCTAGCTCTCCCAGGGTGAGGCTGCCCTGCCAGACCCTTGTCCCAGGTCCTGAGCTCAGACCCTCAGCTGCCGAATTGAAACTAGAAGCCCTCACTCAACGTCTGGAGCGAGAAATGGATGCTCACCCAAAGGCCGATTACTTTGGTGAGTAGGATCTGGTGGAGTTGCCCAAGGGGTGGTAGGGTCCCTGAACTTGGGGACATGCTCCCTACCTGAGATGTTGTAGTTCTCCTTGAGTGGCCTGCCTTTTTTTTTTTTTTTTTGGTTTCCTCTTTCAGATGGCTTCTGATTCAGAAACTTGAAAGCATCCCTGGGCAGAAAGCAGATCTTACAGCTGGGGGTTACCCATGTGTGAAGGTTGAAGCAGCAGGGTGGGACTGTTCATGACTGCTCTCAAAAAAGGGAAACGCTGTGGCTTTGGATTTCAAGGGTTTTGGTGTGATTTTATAGCCTCTTACAGGGATAGGTTCATGCGAATCTTGAATGGGAGCAGCTTTCTCAGGACCAGATTGCTCTGAGCGTAGTTGGTTGGATGGGTCTGGCTGTTGGAACGACTGGTAGTTGAGGCAGGGGCTCTCAACTGTGTGTGTTTGTATGTGTGTGAATACTTGTGTACAGTTGAAGCAAGTGAACTGTTCTAGAACTGTGTTCCTTTTTTTATTTTTTGAGACAGAGTCTCACTCTGTCGCCCCGGATAGAGTGCTGCGGCGTCATAGCTCACAGCAATCTCAAACACTTGTACTCAGGAGATCCCCTTGCCTCAGCCTCCCAGTAGCTGGGACTACAGGCGCCCACTACACGCCCAGCTATTTTTTTTAGAGACAGGGTCTCGTTCTTCCTCAAGCTGGTCTCAAACTCCTGAGCTCAAGCAGTCCACCGGCCTCGTCCTCCCAGAGTGCTAGGGTATAGGCGTGAGCCAGCTCGCCTGACCCAGAGCAGTGGTTCTTAAGTGTAGTCCCTGGACCAGCAGCATGCCTTCTGCTGGGAACTGATCAGAAATGGAAGTTTGGGTACTCCAGTCCAGACTACTGAATCAGAAACTCTGAGATGAGACCTAGCAAACAGTGGTCCTAACATATGGGAGATTGATGCCTTGCTGGACCAGTGCCCCCTAACCCAGCCCAGCCTGGGTACCAACCAGCAGCCAGGTTGCACCCACAGCTGTGGCTCAGATAGGATGGAAGATGCTCCTTGCTATTTAACTCAAGTTTACATGTTTTGCTTTATTCTCTTTTTAAAAATTAAACTCTTGGAAACTATGGGCAACTTGATTCTCCACACACACTGTGTTTAGAGATGGTGAGAAGGTCACTATATCTTTCTGTTGAGTAATGATTTAGCTGTCTCATAGGAGAGCTAACTATTACAGAAAGACAAACGATTCTTAGAAAAATCTGAAGGTTTTTTTTTTTTTCCTTTTTCACGTTCGCACCCTGGATAATTGGGGCCATGATTTCCAGTAGTCTGAGTCCCACAAGGGTCATGGGTCTACTGGAGGGAATAGTGCAGGGACAGAGAAGGTACTGGGAGGGGCAGATAGCTGGTTCTGCTAACAGTAGCTGCTGCCAGTCTACTGTTGCTCTTCCTGAATGAACGAGTGTCCCCAGGGCCTTGGAGAGACAAGGGTTCGAAGTGCCTGGCTGCTGGACACATGTAAACCATGGTGGTATTGTGTTTTTGCTTCTCGTGAGAACCTCTTGGGAGCCAGCTCTCACCGAGACCCGGCAGGCAGAGGTCAGGGTTATGTTTATTGGTTTATTTTTTAAAGCATGTAGCATCATCTTACTGTGAACTGTCCCTTCTCCTTTACAAATTCCCACCTTTGAGAGTAATCGCTGGAAATACTGTGAGTCTTTAAATTTAAACTTGTGTTTAATTTTTAATTTCAACCTAATTGAATAACAAAGCAGTTTTTTTAAATTCTGGAATGCAAGTTTATGCCTCGAATCAAATAGCTAACACTATTCCTCCATTCAACATATTTACTGAGCATCTGTCTTGGCTCATGCCTTGTTCTCGGCCTTTGGGATGCATAATGAACAGGACAGACAGAGACCTCTGCTTTCTTGAAACAGACTATGTAGAAGGAGAAGAAGAGAGAAAATGAACAAAATAAATGAGCAAATACTAGGGAAAGAAATAAGAAAGAAGAGGGGGATGGAGCCACAGAGCTGGGGGTGGCAGGGAGATTTCCAGTTTTAAGTCAGAGTATCAAGGAAGGTCCGACCGAGAAGTTGCATTTGAGCTAACAAAGGCTTGAAGGAGGAAAGGGACTGGACTGGGTGTTTTTCCAGGGAAAGGGCTTTCTCAGCGAGGCAGCAAGTGTGGAGGCCCTGAGGGTTTGGTCTGTGCCAGGCAGGCTCTGTGTGAAACACTTGATGTTGACTATTAATTTACTGGTTTACTGCACCCTGGGAAGCAGGTCTGCCATTGTGTCTACTTTACCAAGGTGGAAACTGAAGTTCAGGGAACTAAAATTAGATACCAAGGTATTCCAGATGGTACTGGGTGTCACTGGGATTTGAGCCTGACAATTCAGCCTCAGGGGCTGTGCTTCTAACCAGCATTGCCAAACTATCTCCCAAGCAGAGATTTGGAAACCAATTTCATTAATTTTATTTATTTATTTATTTATTTAGAGTCAGAGTCTCACTTTGTCGCCTTTGGTAGAGTGCCGTGACATCACAGCTCACAGCAACCCCCAGCTCTTGGGCTTAGGTGATTCTCTTGCCTCAGCCTCCTGAGTAGCTGGGACTATAGGTGCCTGCCACAACGACCAGCTATTTTTTGTTGCAGTTTGGCTGGAGCCAGGTTCAAACACACCACCCTCGGTATATGGGGCCGGAGCCCTACTCACTGAGATACACTGAGTGGCGCTGCCCCATGTAACATAAAATTAACCTTTTTAAAGTGAAAAATTCAGTGGCACTCAATACATATACAATGTTGTGCAGCCACCTACCTGATTTCAAAACATTTTCATCCCCCATAAGAAACCCCCTCCCCCATATCCATTAAGCAGTTACTGCCAACTCCCCCCCCAACCCCCACCCCGGCTCCCAGCTCCTGGCAGCAACTCATGGTGTGTCTTGTCTGTATGGATTTGCCTATTTTGGATATTTCTTTTAAATGGAATCATGTCTTTTATTTATTTTTTGACTAAGCATTACATTCTCACATAGAAACTTGAAAAGATACACAAGCCCTCCCAATGCAAACAGCATCCTTCCAGGCCTGTTTCTAGTCAAGCGTCCTGGGTATAATAGGCATGTGTGTGTCTCCATTAGCCCTGCTGGTGGCATGCTGTCCCACTGAACAGTGTGTCT